AGCTTTAGACCAGATCAGGATACACACATGTGTGTGACTAAAAAATCAATATAATCTACCTCTCCCAAACCAACGGCTAGTGCGAGATGCAGCTGTGCTGGCTCGCGGTGTGTCTTCTGGATACGGAGTTTCCGTTGCAGAGGCGCGGCAAAAAGGTAAAACGGTAAAATGTCGAGCACACACAAGCGCGGGGTAAAAGGATAAAACGGTAAAATCCCCAGGTGGCAGAAGCGAGGAGTAAAAGGGTAAAACGGAAACACGGTAAATGTACGAAATTGAGCGATGTTCCGAAGGTCAGCCAAACTCATGGAGTGAGAAAAGTCTCACATGACATAGCGAAAAACAATGCAGGTCAATCTTGATTTGTCTAATGTAGCGGACCGTAGAGCTGTTGAAAGCAAGAGTCGATCAGTCTTTGGTTAAGATCTAAAAACTCACATTGTCTCTTCGAGAAGATGCACAGACTTCGTCAAGTTGTAGGCTTGACACTGCTCAGGCCCTGAATCCGAGTCAGGCAAAGCCGAAAACACATGGATTGAGTGATAGACGGATGCATTTTGGTGCTCTATTACTGTTTTTTTTGCGAATCCACGTGCGCACTGTGTCCTTGTTTAACGTTTTGCACACAGGCTTGATTACATAGGAAAGATACATGCGCATGCTGCTCTGTTGTGTTTGCTGGCTGTTTTCTGCCTTTGCTGTTTTTGATGCACTCGGCTGGACACCACAACGCGCGGTAAAAGGGTCAAACAAATTGACCGGTCGACCGGTTTGACCGAATTTCCGATGTGCAGAGTCAGGAAGTCTACCAATGCCCTGACAGGTGTAACCTCTTTGGCTGAACGCGCGCGGGGAGCCGGCTTAGCGAGATCCCTTCTAATAAGTTGAAGCGAATTGCCAAGGGTAACAAGTAGCTAGTAGTGAGGGGGAAGCAGTAGCTTAACTAGCTACTTGCGATCGGACGTAGAAGGGCTCAGGCTTCTTCAAGGAAGCTAACCCCGCCTGAGAGCAGGGGTGCAGGGGAGCTTCCTTAGAGAAGCTTGAGCCTCAACAGCTCGGTTTGTAGATGTTTGTACCTGTGCACTACTCGGTTTAGTCCTAGGACTGGAAACTCCAAGCTTCGATGACCTGTAATGACCTCCCCATCCGGAGCCAAAAGAAATAAGGAACAAGAGTTGATGTTGTCATCAGTTGACAACAGTTGGTGCATGTTCAAAAGGGCCTTGTCAAGCATTTGTCTGAGCATTACCTTTGAAGTAGTTTGAAAAAAGTTTTGAGAAACTGATTGGGCCGCCTAGGTGTCAAGCATGCAACCCACACAGGCGCTTCCGAAATCGTTTGTCACTCCTGTCCTGCAGCTACTGAGGAAGGAAGTCCAACACTCATCATGCTGGTCATAGGGGCAGCTATAGCCGCAGCTCCACCAAGGATGCCCAGCCCACACAATCCTGTCAGCGGTCAATGAAAAATTGCCCATCTGGCACATACAGTTCAAACTTTGCACAGCAGTGGCAACAGAATTACTACATCCCGCTCCTGCCCGCTTCACCCCAGCATTGCTCCCCACCGATTTGAGTTGAATCGCAATCCGTGCCGCAACTTTGGCAAGAAACCTAATTTTATCAAGCGTCGGACAAAAAAGAGAGAAGGAGAAAGAGGGAAGGAGAGAGACCTAATCAGACCTAAGTTCTTCGTTTCTTGTCTTTCAATTTTCTTTCTTTAGACCTTGTGACCTGTTTGTATTTTACCTTTCTGATCTTTTGGACCTTTCTTTCCTTTTGGGAGTGAGAGAGAGGGCAGGACTAAGAAAGAACACACAAAAGCCATCATTTGATGGCTGGGTCATCCTTGGTACCTAATCGCAACATGTATGTAAATCCTTGTCCAAATGATAGTGACAGACTTTCCTTTTCCTTTTTTGGCATTCAATCTGGTCAGTCACATAGTGTCAAGTGTGCTCCGGGGAGTTTGTGCCACAGGTAGTTTCGCTTGCCTTCTTGCTATAGTTTGCTCTGTCACATGTGGACAAGTCCACCCTGTCTCTAAGGCGATGCAAAGATCAAAGACTGGCGAAGGCTTCCCATTGTGCCACGGTCCGTCAAAGGAAAGGCCTATATAACAACTTCATAGAGTAGGTGGTCCATAAAGTTGTTGCAACATTCATTGCCGAGTAGCGAACAGCCTCAGCAAAGGAGAAAATTCGAGCTTCCCTTATGATCTGGACACATTTGGCAAATGTCAAGTTGAGAAGTTTGACACCCAAGTAGCGATGAAACTTCTCCCGCAGAACCAACACTTCGTTGGCGGCATTGTCCAATGCTTGCTTCTCACCTCACAACGTTGTGGCTAAGCCGCAAAGCAATAGTTGAAGATGAATGTGAGGCTTGATCCAGGGCACGTCCCTTGCGGAAGATCTCTGTTGCGAAAACCTGCGTGGTTGGATCCTTAGCAACTTCAAGAAAAGGAATCATGGACCAGGTGAAGGCTGATGTCAAAATATTCAACTGATGCAGACTGCAGAAGCGCAGCAAGCGTCCCGAGTTGTAGATTCCAGGAATGCTAAACGGGCAGCGTAAAACAATGCCTCTGGCACGTGGCAGTATTCTTCACCTTAACGCTATAGATCCAAGACACCTATATATTCTCATCTGCACACACGAGCACATTCCAAAAGCTTAGGGCAATACGGATCTGCTGACCTTATTTTGCAGGTCAGATTCGAGCTTCAATGAAGAATGAACATTCATGATGCATGCAAGCTGCTGTACACTTCATATTGCTGCCACGGCCGGCCAAGAACGGCCATGTCAAAGTCCATGAATAGCTTGCAATCCATCTCATCATGCTCTGTACATTTGTGATGAGCTGTTTGTTCCTTGGTTAACTTGGGCCATGATTCAATCATCTCCTTTAGCGTCAACTGGTTGGTCTAGAGATCAGATGTGAATTGGAGCAATTCTCACAAACATTTCAGCAAGCAACTATCCATCTTCTGACCTGCGGGCAGGAAGTTGAAACAACGCTCATCAACCAGAGAGGAGTCGAGTTCGTGCCTTCGTCCCTATGAAGCCTTTCTGCTGCCCAGGTGGGTCGCCAGGGGGGCAACTCTTGTACAAAGTGATCAAAAAGGACTGCGCTGTCCTTCTCATTCCTCGCAAAGCTCAAACAATTTTTCACTAGCAAAGGCTGCAGAGCCCATGTTGGTTCGCAGCCAGCCGAGCTGCTGGGGACTTCCAGCTCGAGGATCATAGATTACATCATGAAAAAAGATAGCCAAGCTCACTGCAGAAGGATCAGCGATCAATTTCTTGTGCTCCTAGCAACTAAATCAACCGCTGAGAAACCTGATCCTCGAGAAGTTGATTCTCTTGGTCAACATTGGTCAACAAGTGCGGAAGCAAAAATGTCTAAAGAAAGAAAGAGGCAACGGCACAACTAATCACAGGATCCTCGAAGTACCCAAACATTTCAGCAAGGTGGGACAATGTGTGGTATGCTCGCTGCTTCTCCGTATAACCTGATCAGCTCAAGATCAAAATCGAAAGCGAAGAAGACAAATGTCCCCATGTGCCAAGAAGCGTGTTTCCAATACATCCCACCACTTCTGCTCAATGCCTTTGGACCTAAGAGCAGCAAATAGGTTGCGAAGAGCACATTCAGATTTATGAATGATTCAGACAAGCCACACGCCAAGGCTTCCACAAAGCTCCTACAGGGTCCGAGCTGATCATGATATTGATGTATGTGCATCATAACAAAGCAAGAATTAAAAAAAAAAATAACTGAGAGAGGGCCTCCCATCGACGTTTGAGCTGCTTGCTCTCAGACATGTTTGAGCCGAGAACACTTGGTTGGAACGATGCGCTGTGAGAAGGAACAAAAACGCGAAGGAAAAGCAAAAGCATAAAAAGAAATGAAGCAAGTTGCTCAATCAAACGTGACGCAGCACTTCGTTGGGGTAGGTGGCAAGTTGTCCAGCACAGCCTCGCAGAAAATGAGACTATATAGAATGAAAAGCACCGAGTGTCCTGCCTCCGTCTTGGACAAAACCATGTGCCGTGCTAATATAAGTTAAGTTTCCCTAAAAATCTAGAAACCAAATCATTAGTGTGAGCGCTTCTTCAAGGAAGCCTCCCAGCCGCCTTTAGGGCGGCGGGGGGGGAGCTTCCTTGAAGAAGCGTGAGCTATCCTGCGTCCATACTACTACTAACTACCGCTAGCGGCCTACCCCCCCCCAAAAAAAAAAATAACTATATATATATACAAATACAACACAAGTTCTTGCAAAATGTTGCGAACAGCGAGGAGTTGAGTTGCAACTTCTCACATATCTGCCTGGTGCAAGCTCATGGTCACCTGAGGAAGCTGAAGACTGGCCTCCTGAACTGCCTCAGGCGGATGGTCCCGTTGCTGTGCCAAAAGTCCAGTTGTGTTGGAACTCAGCAGCTCAGTTGTGCTTCAAATTTGTTGACGTTCAGTGTGTTGAGTCGCTGGTGTTAAACAATCCACGTGAGGTCCATGCGCTATCAAAGCCCAAAAAGCCTCGTTGTAAAAAGGCTCAGTGGCTTGACAAGGATGTTGATCCAAAAGCATACAGCTGCAACTTGAACCTGCATGAACTAGGACTGCCACTGTTCTTGAGAATGGACGAGTAGATCCTTTCGACTGTGTCCCCAGCAGGGAATGTAATGCCAATACAAGCCTGGGTCAAAAGCAAGTGTTTGTGTATGTGTAAACATCATGCCTGCTAATAAGAATTTTTTTCGTGCTCTTTCAACTAAAGGGCGAGTTGTGTTTTTAACAGATCTAACTTGAGCATAAGGGCATACAACGATACCACGCGAGGATCGATGGTGTTGCGGCCAGCACCAGGGGGCTGCATTCCCGAGACGAATTGGCAATCCTGAATGTGTCTCGTGCCGTGCCACATCTTTTCTGTCCGTAAACAAAGCCCAAAGGTCAAGTCCTGAATGATGATCTTGTCCAAATCGCCACCCCGTTCATACATGAACATTCCTGAACACCGTACACCAAAATTGGAGCGTTCCTTTCTTTCCATTCTTTTTGGCCCAGCCACTCTCCATGAGGAATTTCAGCAGTGCTAAGGGCTGCTGTGTCCCGTAGAGGTCCTAAGCTATTCAGCATCCACTGAGTTTCCCTAAAATCTAGAAAGCAAATCATTAGTGCGAGCGCTTCTTCAAGGAAGCTCCCCGGCGCTTTCAGGCAGGGAAGCTTCCTTGAAGAAGCGTGAGCTATCCTGCGTCCAGTTACTAGTAGCTTACTCCCTTAATTAGGTGGGCGCCTACTTAATTCAGTAAGGAGGGCTTTAAATAGAAAAAGTATGTTTTATATACCAAAGTCAACAAAACTCTTCAGCCCAATCCCCCCGAGCCCTGCAGATTCAAAGGTAAGTGACAATCTTGGGCATGGAGAGGTCATCAATGAAAATCCGCAACTTCTTGCCCTGTCAAGCCAAGGCTTGATGCTATGCAATTGTGTCAGACTCTGAAGGTTAGCTTCTTTAGCCACCCCTTCCAAAGATAGATATGGGCATATGTGGGCCTGATCTGGACCAAAGATTCGCCCTGTGCGCTTTGATATGTTGTCCTGAACACAAGGTCAATGTCATCACACTTGACCGCTTTGCCCACAAGCGCTGTCCTCCATGGTTCTCTGGAAATCAAGGCTGCCTCACAAGCACGAAACTCTTGAACTGGACTCGGCTCATTCCGAACTGTGTCGTCTGAAACAACTTGATTCTCCAAATCAAAGGCTGTCACTCGTTCTGGAGGAGTAGTTGATATTGAGGATGACAGACAAGTCTGCTGGGAAGCTCTCCAAGGTATTCTGCATTGTTACCTGCCCAAAGCGAAATCATCAAGTTTGGGTGAAAAGGAGTCGAGACTTACTCCTCACAACTACCTTGCTCTCCAAGTGACTGATTTTGCTGTGCCACTCTCACCGATGAAGAGCATCGGCTGGCTCATGCTCAAAAACTGCTTGACCTCGAAGGAAATATCTCTCAGCAATTCTAGAAATCTTTGCTTGGGCTGCTTAGACGCAACCCACAACAGACTCGGTTTTGAGGAGTACTTTGGCACTTGTGCCACAACTAAGGCGCTTGCCAGGTATGAGTATCGTGTGGTGTCAATCGTGGGCACAAAAATCTTGTTGAAGTCCAAGCCAGGAGGAGGAGCAAAGGGCTGGCCAAATGGAAAGTCTCAAAACATCAAGTGGACTTGAACAGGAAAATGTTCAATTGGCACTCTGCCAACCTCCATGAGATCCTCCCATGATGTCCAACGGCCTTGTTCAAGGTCAAAGTAGGAATCCTTGGTGAAAGTTCTGAGGTCTAAGATTTTAAATGCTGATGCTGCTTGGACTCATGAGCAAATGTGGATTGTGCCCCTCTTACATGTTCCTTCAATACATGCCGCAGTCAATAACGCGCAAAGCGGAAGACAAACTTCAAGGGACTCACAAAATCGACTGAGCCATACAATGGCAAACAACCTCTGTAGAGTCTTAGAGAAATGCAAATGGCAAGGAGGAAAACCTCCCCATCTTGAAGCTAGTGCTCAAACGACCCAGCTTGTGAGTCTCTGAGAATGTGTTTTGCAGAAAAAGAAAAAGCGCTAGGTGCAGAGGGCGTTGGCCCCAGAACCATTTGACACATACATAACCAATTCAGCTGATCCACTTCATCGGTGGGATGCGCATACGGTGCTTTGTTCAACCACTGCAAATACCTGAGCCTGGGTTGCTATATTGTTCGCAAAAACTTGAGTGTACGCCGTACGCAGGGTCGGTCACAAGCGACCTCATATCAATGTCCATTTGTCGCTTTGCAAACGTTGGAATCACCAAGGCTTGGCAGGCAGGTCGAGGATGCACTCTTGATTTATCGTTGCCAGCAAATGCTTTGAAGAAGAAATTTGAAGAGGTTGGACGGGTGGAATGCTGGAACGAACCGTCTACACGAGCCTCCATGAATGCCAAGCATGCAAATGCAAAGCACAGCATTCTCTATGCCCACGACGTTGGTCTGGGATGCACTTCGCATTTTAGGACGTTCAGTCCAAACACCCCAAAAATGAGAATGTATAAGCTTCCAGCAAGCGCGCGCTAAACAGGATGAGGCTGCGGCAAAGAGAGACTGTTTTGGAAGGACCTTTTGTGCGAGCTTCTTGATGAACTCGTCAAACTCCGTGCGACCTGGCCAACCATTTGGTTTCAACAAACTAATAGAATAGAAGAGTGCGGGGAATGTTATCTTGCGCACCTTTCTCATCCAAATGGCCACCCAAAGACCATGTCAAGCAGAAAATGTAGATGTTCTCAACCTGAATGCTAATCTATCAACAATCTTAGATAGCTGCACAACATGTCATTCGGCTCCCGGCCAAGTCGATAGGAGTTGTTCCTTCATCAAAAATGGAATCAAAGAGCCGTGTGAACTGCACCTGGAGCCGTGTGCCATGCTTTTCTAAAAGCACAAGAGCATGAAGGCACAGCATGGAGAGCCCATCATGCAGCCATGGCACCACAGAGTCCATACCCATCAAAGAGCGGTGGATGAAGCCACTCAAAGGTGCCCCGATCTGATCGCCCTGGCTGGTAAATGTTCCCAAAACCCTTTGACATGCGGAAACAGATTAGTTCCAGCTATTGGTTTCAGATCACCTTCTATTCAATGAAAGAAGGAGATCACTGCACCTGACGTCCTTCAAAGATGTACCTTGGTCCACCACACTCTGCTCATCACGAGTGCAAAAGTTTGTGATGCCAAGATGCAGAATCAATTGTGGCACATACTTCTCGTACAGATCCTGCACGGTGGTGGAGAAAGAAATTGTTTGGGTGGCAAGTTGAGGATCTCCTCCAGCGATTCCCGCAGTTTCTCGGTTTGCTTCAGCCGTTGCCAGCGATCATAGTAAGGGCCGGGACCAAGATTCTTGTCATCGACCTGACTATCAAAAGCAAACCGAAAGGGGCTGCATTGCAACAGCACGGTCAAGAATAAAAATGCCCTTGTTTTCTTGGCAAGTCTTGACTTGAGGCCATTGCATACAACATACCACAGCGACTCACAGTGGCTGGAGATGCATATTGAAGGTCGAAGACTTCGAAAAGCATTGCGCAGTGCTTCCTGGGCGATATCTGTAGTCAACTGTACTCTTGCTATTTGCCAAATAGCCTTCCAGAATCTTTAAGCGTCGGAAGAGGTGCTTGCGTGCGCTTTGGAGCCTGGGTGCTGGTGCTGCCAGATGCGTATGGCCGTGTGCGCTTTGGAGCTTGCATGCTGGTGTCGCTGCAGGTGCTACTCCAGGGTGCTACTGCGATGCCTATCTTTGGACATAAGCCGCTAGCTTTTGCTCTAGAATGCTGTGCTATTGAACTTGTTAAAAACCGGCGAAAAATTAGCAGTCTGTTGGCGATGTCGGCTATGCTGTCCGAGTGAATCTGCATTATTGACATCGTGTGCGCTTGCCCCTGTGGCCTTCCGAAAAGAGAAACGAGAAAACTGTGAGTTATGCTGTCTGAATGGAACCAATACTGGCACCCCAAGTGCTGCTGAACTAACGTAGATGCTAATCCTAAACTGATCTTTCTTACTTGCAGCTACCCCTTGCGTTCCACTCTTGCACCTCGTTGTTTCCATGACCTTCTTTTCCTTATGGTACCCTTCTTCTGACGCTTTGAGCGCTGCTACGTTCTTTCCCGGGGTGGCTTCGCCGCAAAGCGGTGTGAATATCTTTTGCTATCCGGGTTCTATGCTGGCGAAATGTTGATATGAATGCACAATATGCTGTAGTATACTGATATCAAATCCTGCAAATTTAGTGAGATACCAAAAGGATGATCGTCATCAAAGACTTGCGTTTGTGACAATTGAGATCTTGCATTCCAAGCATCTCGAGTCGAATACGCTCTCCATTTGTCAGAGTCAGCAGTTTGTTGTCATCCATGACGGAATTCATATTCTCGATCCAGATCGCATCGACATCGCCATCATAGAGAATGTATCGCCTTCAAAAGTCTTGGCCACTTGGTGCGCTTGGCTGCGAACCTCCCACATCTTTCAACCCTAAGGAAAGTCTGTAGGGATTACAAATGTACTTGGGTGTCCTTTCTCAAACATAACAAAAAACGGAATAAAACAAGAGGTTATCGACTCTCGAGTTGGTCGTGTGTGTGCACCTGGTGTGAATGAAGTCCCTGCATTTGACACTTGCGTTTGGTCATTGGCACAAATTACCTCACTATATATATATATATTTGCCAGCGCCTCTGTTTATGGGCCTTCAACCCTTTCTGTTGCCCTGAATTCATACAATTGCAAATTGTTTGTGACCATACCAAGCGTACCCAAACTCCGGACAAGTCAAACAAGACTCCTGCAAGGTTTGTCAGCGGGATGCGGCTGGTTCATCTCGCGGAAGATCTTTGACAACAGCCTCGAAGAACGCACAATCGAAACAAGAGTGGTTGGACACTTGAAACAATGGAAGACTCTTCCAGGAGCAGTGCCCATCTGTCCAGTCACGAGTTTGCGGATCGAGGACACCATAGAGTTCCTTGGAAGATTCTTTCAGCGTTTGCTTCCGGGTGAAAAAGATTGCAAGATGAGATCGCCTCAGTAGTGATTGCTTTTGGATTCAGTGGAAGCAATGTCGTTGGCAAGTCCAAGGCCGTCTTCTGTGCCTCGCAGTGGCAAAAGCTTCAGTAGGTTGGAGGCCATCGCTAGTAGGTTGGAGGCCGAAATTTACTGAAGCAATAGAGATGTGTGCGTGGCCACGTGGCCTCTGCCAGGCAATTCAATACCACAGATTTGCCACCACCGGTTGGTCCCACGATCATTGTAGAGTGCCTGGCCACAAGCAGAAAAAAGCTTGCTAATGGCAAGCATCAAAAACAACAACTTGACTTGAGCACATCAATAGGTGCAGGTGGATGCGATGTATAGTCAAATGTGTCCACAGTCTAGGAAGAAGCAGAATAGACTGAATTGTTGCATTTCAGTTTTATCATGCAGCCGCAAAAGTAAACCCAAAGAATATGCGCAGTAGCAATAGCCCCGATCTTTTCCATTCCTAACTTGCTGTGGCACGGAACTTTGTTGGGAACCTTCTCAAGCTGACCCAAACCCTCCGCGAGTCCATTGGCTGAACACACGCGGACAATCGTGGCCTAGTGAGCATGGTCTCATACAGCTGCATCACTTTATCCACCTGCAGCTGGTAAATGTCCTGCCAGAGATGAAATGCCATGCAATGGCCATGCTTTTGCTTCAAATCACTTCCTCTTGAGTTGCAAAAAATCAAGGATCTGTACATTCTGAAGAGAATGCCTCGTACTTGGAGTGCATTTGGTTGTCGTCAAAGTATTTCATGATGGCTTCCTAAGGTCTGAGCCGGTGCTTTCGAAATGAATGGGGGCTAAGGACTAAGGCCCTGTCTTTCAGCTTCGGGTTGCCCTCTCGCGGCACTTTCAGGCCAGGGAAAAGGTCATTGAGAAGCCCTTGGAAAAGTGGAACGTCCTTCGCAGCACTGCTTCAAGCACCCATTGCACGGAAATGCCACAGGCTTCTGTGGAGAGTGGACATTTTGGTCCTGCTTGACGAACTTGGGCATGTTCCTCAAAGTGTTCATGCGTTAAAGACCTCCCCTTCATACATTTTGCCCTGCTCCGTTCCCACATGTGACTGGTTCCCAAACACGTCTTCTTAAACTGCTTGCTTCCATGGAAAACCTTGTCTGCAACACGAGTGATGCTTCAAACACTAGTTCAAACGAAGCTAAACACCGGTTCCGAGTCGCATATCGCGAAGCGCTCGCATCAGCACCTGAAGTCATTCAAGCTGCAATTCTCAGTAAGTAAGAAACCCAGAGCGAACCTTGATCAGAATCAAATAATTACCATCAAGACTTTCTCAATGCCCGCCGCTGCCTTGTCTTCTGGAAGATCTCCAGCAGCTCTCTTCAAATCACCAGCCATCACCAGGACAGACTTCAATGCTCGCAGTTTGAAGTCCTTGGATGTAAACAGCAAGCAGCTTAAGGTGCAAGCGCCAATTCTTCCGTGTCAAGAATGTCAGTGGTTAGTCCAGAGGAGGTGATCGGTGGAATTCCTACCAAGACTAGACAAATCCGAATGTGCTAGTTCGACTCCTGAAGAAAAGGAAACATGGATGTCATTCGCCTCATAGGAATTCACCAGCTGCAGAAGAATGTAACAAGTACCAAGAAACATAGTGATACTGCTTTGAGAGCTGACCCTGTGAAAGAGCATAAAGCACAGTCATCTTCTTTGCCAAGACCTCAAAACTCTCAAAACCGCAGGATGTCCACTGTCAATGTCTCAAACCAAGTCACGCCTCAAGCCTTGCTGATGTTAAAACTGGACAGAACCACATGATCCGTGCCTTCGCCATGTTGAAGCCTTCAGACATCAGCATGTTCTCACCTTGCCAACGCCAACATCCAGCCAAAAGGAACGGAAGCAGCCCTTTCACAGAACCAGTGTAGAAAAAAACAGACATCATCATGTACAAAACTGCAAAGATTCGAAAGCAGTGCAGTTATTCTAAGTTCTCTGACAAATCATCAGCAGGTCTGGCACGATCATTGTCACAGGCCGGAAAAGGGCCTGTGTTCCACGATGCAGTTGCAAACTGGCTTAAACTTGATTCAATGCATTTGACAACCTTCAAGTTGTCCGGCAGCTCTGATCTTCCGGCGTAACCCGGATTCATTGTGATGAAGTAACCTTGATCCATGATCTGTGGATGCAAAAACTGTTGTGACAAAGGGACAAACCAACTTTGCTGGCTTTCCTGAAACACATCAGTGGATAGGGTGCCTACCAATCGTCGTCTTCAGTGCGACATCTCTGCCAAGCATCTCAACTGTCTTCTTTCCTGCCTCAAGCATACAAAAATATATTATTGTACCCTTGCATTGCAGGGCCCTCGCACTGGTCTCCAAAGTGCAAAGTTCTCAACAGCTTGCTCCGAGGCTACTGACATTGAGGCCATTCTGAATGGTCTTGATTTGCGCGGCAACCACGGACAGCACCTTTTGTCAAGGGGGGAAGGTGCTCCAAGGTGAACAAATTCTGGCATCAAGGTGCTCCACGTGCTTCGGTTCCAAGCCTCAACATTGATGCGGTTGAACTCATCGAAGCAGCCCCAAAACCCTGCAGGTGTTTGTGAATTTGAATTCGATACAAACATGTCGTAGTGAAGAAACCAAAACAAATGAGTCTAACAGTGGAAGGTGTCCTGTCTCTGAGAGGCCGCTGAAGATCACGCCCATGGCTCTGAAATCCAGGCCATCACCACAGTTCGTCACAACGCAAGAGATCGCCAATGACTTAGCCAAATCCTTCGGTCTCAAAGGCTCAACTGGCGAAGTGAACATCAGTTATCAACCATCTCCTTTCTTTTCTATTGTTCCTTTTAGCCCGCTCCTACTTATATAATTGAGTGATATTAAGTGGGCGCCTGCTTAGTTAAGTAAGTGACAAACATGTATGCTGCTACATATGGACGCAGGATATGATAGCTCGACGCAGGATATGATAGCTCGGGCTCGCACTAATGATTTGGTTCCTAGACTTTTAGGGAAACGTATCATGAAATGTTTCAGCCATCTCCTTCACGGTCTCAGTCTTGCCGGTTCCAGCAGGACCAGCTGGAGCACCACCCATGTTGAAAGTCAGTGCGGTTGTCAAGGTCATGACCTCAAGCAACTCTCCAACGCTCAGTTCAGCGAGGCTTTGACACCAATGTGTTGACACAGCTGTGATACAGGTGTGTGTGTGTGTGTCCTCAAGTGATTCAGCTGCAGAAGTGCATGTGCTGTAGATTCTTCGATTCCTGGACCAGCTAAGGCAGCCGCACAGCGATCAGTCAAGGGTGTGATGACAAGGCGGCCGTTCAGCCCCTGGCATGGGACAGTTTGATGCAAAAGCAATGAAACGTAGTCAGAGTAGTCAGAGAAACTGTTTTTTGCATTTGCCACCTGGTACTCATAGCAGTACTTGAGCTGGCCCGTGCATTGTCTGATGGCCACCTCAGCTCACATGGCCATGAGTGGCCATGAGTGCCCCCCTCATTTATAGGAACATCTCACCTTTTTTCCCAAGGATCAAGCATCATCCATCTTCCGGTCCCAGTAGAATCGAAGCCTAGACACGTTCTTTGATTCGTCTTGAAAGTGCGCAACACTCTTGTGCAGCAGTGAGGACTGACCATAGCAAGACAGCCATTTTAAAAGGGTTCCTGACGAGATAATGCAAGATCACGGCGTTCAAATCATGTCTAAAGATCTCATCCGTCCAAGTGGCTGAGATTCCCATGCAAACTCCTCCTTGTTTAGGATACCTTGATCAAGAAAGAGGTGCAAGGTTTGACGAGCATCACCAAGCCACACCACGCAGACTCTTCAACAAACGCACGCTTTGAATATGTTTTGATATGCGGCAAATGTATATTATTAGTAGTAGCATTTCTAGCACCATTAGTACACCTTAGAAACATTTTGCTCACTAACATCAGACAAAATGCTGTCGCGGACAAAGCGGTCCACGATATCACGCGCATGCACGTCCAAAATGATCAAGGTGTTCACCTCAGTTCCGTGTAACATTATCCTCCCATAGTGCAAGAAGTAAAGCACCTGGCCTTCTTCCTCTGCAGCTTGTTGATGGGTGAGCGTACAAAGGCAACCAAGTCCTGCAAACTCTCGCTTCTGAGTGATCTGTCTTTTCGTTTGTGGGTCAACGTGTTTGTTTGTTTGTCAAGTTTGGTGCCGATTCTGAATGTCCTGAACCTGCTGGTTTTCCTTCTTCAATTCATTCTTCATTGCATTCTTGTCACCTTCTGCCACCTTCCTGAAAGCATCCTGGCATGCAGAGCTTGCAAGACTTTCTGCCCTTCACTTCATGCACCACTGGAACAAACTCTGAACCAGGACAACCACTGGAATTGGTTAATAAAGCTGTCGGCTGAAAGTAAAACGAGACAGTCGTCCCAAGATTGCCTCGACTTGCCAAGTCCACCAAATTTGGGTTCCCAGGATGGCCACCATTCCGATGTAGTTCTGAATCCATTCCATGCGCTCCTCACACATTCTTTACTGAAATGTCAGCAAGACCGAGACCGGCAACAACTTCTTGGCTGAAGACTTGAGATGCGTAGTAGTACACCTGCCAAAGGCATCGATATTGTAAAGCCGTGGATACATCTGGTCCTTTGCCATGTCAAAAAGGCCCCGGATGGCTACTAGGCTCAACTCAACAAAACAGCCGGAGATGCAGCTGCTTTGGAGATCCGTTGCAGGGTGTCTTGCATCTGCTCGTCCACTGTGAGCATCCTTAAGCATTCAGTGACTTGAAAAAGCTGGGAATATACTTTTTGGTTTGGAAAATACTGCCTCACAATGCCATTTTGTATTGACATGTAGGGCTCAGGCCAGTCTTCAACAGCTCCTTCTGCCTCAGTGTCAAGCACTCCATCAGGTCGAAAGGCTGGGAACGATCAGCAGCCTTCTGAGCTTGGTGAAAGCGGAAGTGTTCCCCTTCATCGGAGTACATCCCCACCACTGTCTGCAATGGGAGAAGCACGATGAATTAAACTCCCGCAATGAAAGGATTGCAAGATACATCAATGAAGCAATGCACCAATGCCGCACCTTTCCACGGCTGAATTCCAAGGTTTTGCAATTGTCAAAGAGCTTCAGCCTGCCATCGAATCATCACCATGCACTTCAAGGATGAATCCAAAAGACCAAAAAGTCCGCTCAAAAGTACGCCAAAGGGACATATGCGGCTGAACTGCCTCAGGGCAAACAGAATCAAACACACAACAAAAGGAGTAAAAAAGGCCTTGTCTGTGTCGCGCTTTCAGTGCGGCAATATACATGCACGAGCCTGCGCATCGCTTGTACCAAGGATGCTGAGAAGCTCGTCATCTGAAATCAAGTAGAACCGGGGGAATGCAGAACGCTTTGTGTCCAAATAGTCCTTCGCTGACACGCTGGAGGCAACTTCTAGGAAACTCAGGCAATATGCACCTTTGCTTTTACTGTTGCTTTTACTCAAACGCAGTCCGTCAGCGACTTCTGGATCCTAAGCCAAGCGCAAATGAGACAGGTCGTATATGATGCAAAGACTGCAAAAATACAAACCAGCACCTGTTGTGCTCTATAGCAGTCAAGGCAAGCGCCGATCAAACTCAGAAGTCAATCCCTTGAACTCCTCTAGGCGTCCATCCTGCGAAGAATAGCGAGAGCTATTTGTTATCAAAGACTGGATCCATTACCTGCAACATCCTGCAATGCTTGCCATTCTCAATCCATAGAGTCACACTGCACACTTTGAACAATACAGCATCTGTTGTCCTGGCAGCAAGCGGAGAGAACCTGTGGCGATGCCTTCGCAAGTAAACAAAAGCAAGGCAACATACAAGCAGGTGCAAGCAAATGCAACAGTTCCAAGGCTCTCAAAGTGCTTCAGAAAGGATCAGAAAGGATTCAAGACTTCTCACAAGTCTAGCAACTGCCTGTGTCATTTGCATGATCTTCACGTAGTTCTTGTGGCATCTACCGAACCTCATGACTCCAAACTCTGTTGTTTTGACATCCGAACACCTTTCACGCATCACATTCAACTGCATCTAAGCTTGTAGCTGTTTTGCTTGCTCCGGCAGCTGCATACTGATGTCCTGAATCGTTCGGCAAGTGTGCCTGTAACCAAGCCTCAATAGAAGCCAATGCAGTGGCAAAATTCTTGCCGAGGCACTTCAGAGTCCAGGAAAATGCTCTCCAAGTACATCCATTTCCTCAATCGGAATGCACTGCTTTCTGGAAGAAAGAAAAGACCGTTCGCTCATGCTGATGTGAACACCTAAGAACCAGTCCTCTGAAGTACCATCCATGCATCAAAAACCTGAGAAAGTCGATCGAAAACTGTTGGGAAATTGGTTGGCCTGAAAATGCTTTTTGGCTTTCGTTGTGGGAAGCAAGTGGTCAGTATTGTGTGAGCAAATAATGCTGGAAATGCAAGTGTGTGCACATAGAACTATTGAAATCATCAAAGTGTTGCGAAAAACGATACCGGAACAATTGAAGCAGTGTGCAATCTAAATTAAAAATGGAAGGCAACAAAGTTAATACTTCCCGAATTCTTGGTGGCTTGAGAGAATCCAATCTTGCCAAGGAGAGTGATTCTTGGTACCAATGATTTTGTGAAACTATTTCTTGTTTTTTTGTGTTCATGCATACTTCTTGCGAATTGGGTAGCTCGCTCTGAAACATAAGCGAAATCGCCTCGCCCACCACTGAGAGGTTCTTCTCCCAGCGCTTGATGGTATCCAGCCTCATAGTCCGATTACCAAGAGTTGCAGCAAAAACAATGGCCTCCAACCTATTAGCGATGGCCTCCAACCTGCTAGCAATCGCCTTCAACCTAATCCTGTCCCAGGCTGAATGCTGAGAAGAGCACAGCTTCATTGCATACTTGGATGAACTCATTGACTGTAGTGTGAGCACGTGGTCATCCAGAGTCTGCTTCCTTGATGAATACGGCTTCAACTTTGGTTCATTTTCTTGTGCTCACAAACCGCCAAGTTGCATCTCTTCATTTGGCAAGAGAACATAGCCTGGCAAAGAGCACCAAAAGCACCACATGTCTTTTGCAGGTACACTTGTTCTCACTCGCCTCTGGGATTTGAAGGCTCTCCTTTATACCTGGACACCCAGCGATCGCGAACCAAAAATTGCATTGATGGTTCGTTTCATCAGCTGATTACGCCAACTGCAGATGGGGCACGGCTTCAGCCCCAAAGGCATGTTGCGCCAAGTACTGTCAATCTGCCAAGGCAAGTGAGCAGTGCATTTTCACTACAAGGATGTTTACATGTTTCCTCATGCCTTAGCAAGCTCGCTTTCGATCTTCAGCTCGTTCTGCGCCTTTGACAGTGTTTGAGGGGCAGGATTTCAGAGTTGGAAACTAGTGCCCCGAGCTGCTGTCACCACCAACTCATTGACTTCGTCAGGAAAGCGGTGCAGTTGCATTGCGAAAACTGCATTCAGCGTCATTTTCTTGATGTCGAAGTCTTCCTCGAAACATGGAGACTTCATAGAAGAGTGCCGTTGCTGCCATTGCTGGCTGGCCTCTTAGAGGTCCTTAATTAGGGGTCTTGGGGTCCGGCTGTTTCCACTTCAGCCAGTGTCATCAACTCCTCCCAGTGCCCTTTTCGGATGGCGTCACTCTTCAGCTGCTGGATCAGTGGAACTCCAGCCTAGGCAGGGAAAGCTTCATCGCTTTCCGTGTCTTCCAAGATGTCCTTGCGTTGCTCGGTTGTCATAAACCCCCACGCCTTGAAGGATGTGACAACTTCCTCCAGCTTCTGAAAAGTTGGAAGCTCGCCGAGTTCCTTCTGCTCCTGCAGGCACAAATAAACAAAGTGTGCCTAGAAACTCGAGGCATGGCATTCAGAAACAGTGCGCAAAGCTACTAGTCTCCTTTGGCATTCTTCTGACTTGCTTATCAAAGTCTTCAGCTCCCTTTGTCAAAGCATTGATGTCAAACTTTGTCCAAAGTGCCTTGGCAGTCGTCAGACTTCATTGAACCAAAACCAAGTCATACGAGCGCATTCGGGGTTGGCACACAACCACCTGACTCTGAATGTCAGTTCTTGATCAGCTGCCACATACAAATAACTCGCCAAGAGTCTTACCAGCATTTAAAACAGCAACTCGAGAGGTCTAAAGCCAGCACTGGTCAAGAACCCAGCTCTTGAAACTCGCTTTTGTCAGGATGCGTTGCTGAACTCGTTGACCATGGAGCTGTGGTCTATGTAAACTTTGTAGATCTGCTGCAGCAGTCGCAAATCCTCGAACAAGTAAACAAACCCCCACATTTTAACTCAGAATGATGTCATTTATCATATCAGGCTGTAAGAGGTCCTTTTCAAGCTGTAGCAGCTCGGGATAGGTCTGAATGGGCAGGTTGAAGAGCGTTTGAGCTTTCACCAGGTCCTGACGCTACTGACAGACACGTTGTTATTTTCGCGGGGAAGCTGGGAAAGGTAGCTATAGGTAAGCTGCAGGCTTGGTAGAAACTACTATTAGCTGGTTCTCTATTCAGCGACAAAGACAGGGACGAAGGGTTCTTTGGAACGTTTAAGTATGACTGCTTGACAGTCCTCACGCTTCCGCTGGAATTGTTTCACATTGATGTCATACTTCTTCATCAGTTCCTTTGCGTATGCAGGTTGGGAGAACTGTCATTGAATGTACTGCATCGAGTCCAAACCTCCGATCTGATACCAAGGTTCTACTCCCTCCTCTAGGGAGACGTCTGAACCAGGTCCTTCTCTCTTGAACACCTGACAAGCAAGTGATGAACAAAGTCGTTGCTTGGAAGTCAAACAATGTCGAACCACCCAACCCCGGCCTGAAGCAGCTCCTTGCACTCCATTGAGAAGTCTTTGACCTGTTACTAGCAGAATAGGTTGCAGACCACTAAGACCTACACTTAGGGTTGGCCGGCTTAGGTGTTTTGGAGTCAAGCCTGCTCCTGCGTCACTTGCGAAAAGTGCTCCTTCACCTCAGCCAGGCGCCATGATAGAAAAGGCATTGGGCATCTACTTTTGCGGATACATGCACATACATACGGTGTCTTGGCTCTAGTGACTCTAGTGTTTCGTTTCGTCACCCCAGGTATTATACAGCACGGCTTACCGAAACATCAAGCCCAAAATGAGAATGGAAAAGCAGCAGTAGAGCTCGCTCCTTTTTGAAGGGTGGTGTAGTTTCTTCTCTGGCGGTCTGTGTTCGAAAACATGCCAACTCCCTGCATAAGGGACCCAAAAGGCATAATGTTGGGCGAAGAAATGCCCTGAAGCAGGTCCACGGGTGTCGCACAAAGGGTGTAAAGCCGTGGTAGCGGGCCCCTCAGCAGCCACGGTCTCACAGGGTTCGCAGCCCTAGGCGTCTACCCGACGTGACGTGGCCTGGCCCAGCACAAGAGTCATCGCCCCGTGCAATTTGCGGGCCACTGGCGTTTTTTGTCGGATTTGATTCGTACCACATGAGTTTGGCCAAAGCAGTGTCCAACGCCTAGCAAGTCCACCTGCTGGGAGACCATCCCACTGGTCTGAGCAGAATTTTTTGGGGATGCGCTCCGTCAAAAAGATCCCAATCAAAAAGGTTCGTCATGGCTGGGCAACCAGAAAGGCACTGAAGGTTGCAAAAGGAAGTCGAAAGGAGGTAGCCTAGGCTACCCCAAAATGTTCAGTTGGCACTGTGGTCACCTCAGTCTTGAGCCATGGTTCCCACTTTGGCTAATGAAATGTATTCAGTCAACATTATATTATGCTTTCCGCATGCTCAATGCTCACGTAAAAAGTAGAATGATATCGATTTCAGGCTTGTCCTCCCTATCTGTCTTGGGAACCGGCAAGATGTTCAAAGCACAAACTAATTGTTGAAAAAACTTCACAAGTCATGCTGAGTGTCCACACCCTGACCATGCGCCGGTCTTTTGTCAAAGCTTCGTCCTCCAAGTGGGGTTGTTTCTCATTCATTCTACCACTTGCACTCTAGTTTCCACAAAATCTAGGAACCAAATGAGTAGTGTGAGAGTGTTCCTGTCCGATCGGTCCTATCGGCCTACTTAAAAGCTTACTTGTAAGCTACAACTTGTAAGCTACCTACCACCTCGCCGCGTGCGCCTACTCCCCAAAAGGCTGTAAAAGAAACACGTACATATGCTGTCCTTCAAAAGGCGCCACATTTCGTTCAGAGCCTTTGCATCTTCGTATTCCTCCCCAAGGCCAGGAGCTAGTGCGGAAAGTGATGGAAAGTGTTTGTGCAGCTAGAGCTCTTGGTGAGTACTTTCTGAGCCCAGCCTGAAGCTCATACTGACAGTTGTACAACTCGAGGGTGCGGTACCTTTCTCTGACGTCCTGTCTTCAAGGTTTAAGCAAAGGCAAATCTCATGATTAAGAGTGCAAGCTAAGTAGCTTAAGAAGCAAAGCGGATCAGCCATGTTCCCAAAACAGCAGTCCTGCATGCGCAATTCCATGTCCATAGAGACAGACAGGATCTTGGAAATGATGCTCAAAATGAACTTCCTGGCGCAATAAGTAGACTCTTAATTATTCATGCACTCTGTTGTTCACTGTATAATGCAAGCTGAAGGTACAGCTTGTCCAAAGAGTCAGGCGTCTCTTGCAAGTCATCCTAGGCAAATGCGTTGAGCCAAATACGCAAATCATACTGCTCTTCTATGCTAGCACAAATATTTGCAAATGATTGAGGAATGCACCCGGAACTCCGTGATTTCGGCTTGAATCTTGGTCAAATCCTGGAGAAGTGCTTCAGCAGTCACAATGTCTGAAGTCGGCTCACAGGTGGCAGCATTGGAGATGCTACCCAAAGAAAATTAGCTGCCTTGTAGGCAAGCTGGCGGAGGATATCACCGTAGCCAGCAACCCATTCCATCGCCTGCAGAAGAGTCGGCAACTGCCAACATGGGAGAGCACACTGATCATACTCTGCTTATGTGTAGCCTTTTGAAGTGCCTACCAAGTGCCTTCGGTCCCTTCTTCAATCGAAGTGCTATCTCATTGGATCTTCAAAGAAACATACAAGTGAGAGGAAACCTAAATGTCTGGCAACAAACATGTTGGTGCTGCTAGGCCTGGGTTCGGATGGCTGCGACTATGGAAGTGCAGTCAATTCTCACAAATCCAATGTCCTGCCAAGCCAATGTCTAGGATCTAGGAGTCTAGCATTCTCCTCTGGACAGCTTCAGATAGTGAAGGTTTCCACAAGTCTAGTCAGCTAATGCTGAAGCCCATGCCAAGCTGGCCGTAGGGACCTTCGGACTTCAGACCTTTGCTTTGGCCGCACAATTGCCGTAGGTCCTTCTCTGGTGGATATGCTGCCAAACTGTCGGCTAGGCTCTTGTAGACCTTGGCTAAGTCCACTCCACCATCTAAACATCAGCCTGTACCTAGCTTTTCTAAGGAACCCACACAAATGTGGGCATCGAAGAAGACAAAGGGTGGCCGCTTCTCTTTGACCTTCTCCAAGTCTTGCTTCCACTTTGGGTCCTTGGACTGGGAACTCAGAACTATCTTGGCTTACTAGTAGCGTCCTTGCTCCTAGTAGCGATGCCCTTTGCTCCTAGTAGCGAACATTGTTCCTACTAGTAAGGCACTTGTTACTAGAAGCGATGCACTTGTTCCTAGTGTCACAGTCTCTTCAGTTCCGAGCCCAGAGTTTCCACCGCTCTTCGTACCGCTTCCAGTGGCGCAAGAACTTGTCCTTGGTCGTGGAGGTGACTGCACATCCAAACTCAAGAAAGTCCCAAGCCCTTACATCTCTTGTGAATCGTTTGTCTGAGAATCAATGATGGAGAAAATCTTCTGGATGCTGTTCTGAATGTTGATCGTCATCTCGAATAGTGCTGGATTGTCCTGCAAACTGCTTTGTGGACGATTTTCCACCAACATTGTAAACTGACCTGACATTGCACACCAATTGCATCAGGCACCTTGACATCTCGATAGAATGTGAACCTCAAAACGGTAGCTTGGTACTTGCACTGCGGTGGTGGGTTGCGTCTCTCGGCTACTGACATTTGCTGCTGCTCGTCCTCTTGGCCAGGCTGTGGGGGAACCATTCGGCAGGTCCCATCCTAAGACAATGAGCTGAGCTCGTGACAACTGGCAAAAAAACTACTATTCTAGCTAGACAGTGCAAGAAGCTTTCTGACTCAGTCTAGCACCATCCATCGCACAAACAGTTTGGCCGACTGAATCGTGTTCTTGAGAAGCTTGCTGATCAATCTGAACACCTGAGTTGTCATATCAAAGAAAATGCAGTGAAGTGAAGCATCATCCTCTTCATGTGTCTGGAACCAGCACTTTCAAGCGCCTTCACTGCATCTAAAATGAAGCCAGTCTCCATCTCAGGCCAGGGCAGACTGCAAGGCTTGATCATCAATCTCTGGGCCACTGCAATCAACTTTCACTCGCAGCAAAGGAGGCCTCAAAACCAAGCGGTCATCCAGCATGCAACTGCGAAAGCATCCGCCACGTCCGCACCTTTTTCGCTCACCAGCACTGAAGAGCGTTTGGAACGTACTCATGCCTGTAGGTGAGAACAAGGTGAAAACCTGGACAAACAGCCTGTGGTCTCAGCGAAAGGCCTCGAAGCAGCATCGTGGTAATTGCATTGAAGATCCGACGCTCCCAGTAGTGATAGTACCTTCAAGCTGCAATGCTTCTCCAACGAAAACCTCATTGAATGATGCAAAGCGCACTCCGCCATGGATGGTGCCATTCCTGTCTTTGTTCCAGCGGTTGTCTCCTCGAACCCGGTGTGAAAAAACTCAAGTGACTGCCAGCTGCGCTTTCAACTTTCTAGATTTTCCGTTGGCGCCTCAATCTTCACCAGGAAAGGCCCAATGGAGTCGTACTTTTTCCTTGGAAAGTAGGAATTCCTATCACCATGTTACACTGTGGGGTAAACCTTTGGAACACTTGGCATGGTGTGACAATATGCGACAGCTGTGCAAAAAAAACGGATGAGGAAAGGGTCACAATTGGAGCAGTCCATAGCAAAGAGTTTGTTCTGCCGTGGCAGTGACCTTCTTTCCCGTTCTCGAGTTTGCTAAACACTATGGACATCAGGTTTGCTTTGACTGATGGCATCTCAGGCGATCCCAGCATCTGTATTCTTGTGTGCAGATATGCAGAGTTTATATGTGTGTATCTATATATATATATATTTATGCTCAAGTGTAAGCCTTTTTTGGCTGCACAACCAAAGGTGATAAAGGTTGTGGTGCAGTGACGTCGAATTCAATAGGCATTTGGAATTACGAAAATCTCAGACATCTTTACACCACAGCACACCCGCAAGTGGAGTGAATTGAGTTCAAGAGAACAGTAGGATAAAGAAGAAGACACCACAACCAGCCCAATCAAAGAGGGGTCGAAGAAAGAGAAAAGGGAGAACACCACAAGCACCCCGCCCAAAGACACCTCGTCATTTGCGAAGCGAAGTAACCAGAGACAGAAAAGAATTGCGAAAAATTGCCAAGAGCAGAGAAGAAGTAGTGGAAAGATGAAGAGAGATCAAAGTAGCCCGGGCGTCATCCAAGTATTGTCTGGCAGTACGCTGGTCTTTCCACATTCCTTGAATCATGACAAAATCAAGGGCCTTCTGAGTTCCATAAAAGTGCGTCGCACCGCCACGGCGGAGGCTATAAGGGACAAGGTGCAGAGAAGCAAGGTCAAAGAAATTGCAGAGGCCTGAAAAGCAAGTCCTGAAATAACTGAGAGAATAAGGCCAGACCTCCCCCGTGAAGCCAAGCTTTGAAACCAAGAACGAAATCAAAACAAAAAAGTTCTCATCGGAATGCGCAAGAAATTGTTGAAACTGCTTGGAGGCCTTGGTGTAACCCAGATTCAACACGACCGATTTGGAGGTCGGATCCAGTGCAAGATCATCAAAGGTCAAATTCAATGCTTCCCCAACGCGAAGAAAGAAGACGAAGGTCAGAAGTAGGGTCAACGTTAATGAATACCACTGTTGTTCTAGACAAAGTCCTGCGAGCCCTTGTACCATATTCCAAATGATCGGTGTGGCTCTCTGGGGAACACGCGATCGAGTCCAATTGGTGAACCATTGTTGCGAGGTTTGGAGCTCTTTGCGGCATCGTGGGAAGAGCCGCTTCATCCCACTCAGAACCCAACCGGCACGTGAAAGGGGTTCTCCTTCTTGGAAAAGTGAATTAATGTATTCGGCAAGGACAAGGTCCAACGTGTGATAGCTAGCTGGATAAGGAATTGAACATGCATCAAGGTAACTCAGGAAAAGTGAAACTTCCCTCTTATAGATCCTCAATGTGCGACTGGCGATGCCCAACTCACGTAAGTGTTTTTGCCCCTCAGCCATCTCGATGCGCTTCGAATCGCCGGCTTGGTGCGTCGGCGAAGTTCCACTTCGAGGTCGTCCATAAATGGATTGGCATCACCTGGCTCACGAGGATCACTGCATTGATTCTTCTCAACAGTCGGTTCAAACGAGGGGCTTTGCTCCGACCTTTTGACATTGTAAAAAGCCGACCTGGCTGTCGATGACATTGAAAAATCTCGCGCCGAGCTGTGCAATCTCTCGCGCTCGACGGCGGAACTCGACAAGGAAGGCTGAGACTCCAAGCTACGTTGATGTGCTGCGAGCGCTTCCAGGGGTAAGACAACTTCGCCTTCCATTGCCACTTGAAGGCCGGGTAGGGCGCCATCAGGGTGACTGAGCCATCTTCAGCTGCAGCCTCAAACCGGACCTCAGTCCCCCTGACGCAGATCTCCCTCAACAGTTTCCTGAGGCGCCGTCTCTCATGACAGCTGCGTTCTGGGCCACATCTGGCCGCTGCATTCCCCTTGTCGATCTCTTCAACGCTGCCAAAATGGCTGCTTCGGATCCCAAGTCCTCTTTTGAAGCGCTCTCTTCAATCCAACTGCATACGCTTGGCACAGGCAAGTGTATTCCGCCTCCTGCTCTGTGTCAAAGCGTAGTGCTCCCCCCTCCTCATGGACCTCGTAGCGGAGAAGTCCTTCATGCCCCGGGGCAGGTTGGGCGATGCAAGGCTGTATGCAGCTCTTCAATGTTGCGCGGAAGGCTGGTCCAATTTGTTCTTGCCCCGCCGTAGCAGCATGCAGTAAAATAGGTGTGAAAAACATCATCTCTTGAGGCCAACTCAACTGCCTCCGGGGTTGACCATAGATGCGACCTGTACGGATGCTCAAGCGCTGCCAGGCGCTCATTGTCAAAAGCTGGCTTGAGTCCTCTAAGTGATCTCTTTGCCATTGCATTTCCACGTCGCAATTGTACTTGTTCCTGGTGGCTAAGGTGGTCGAGACCCCATGGCTTCAAGGCACTTTGCAGGGCCCTAGGCCCCGAGAGCCATCGCCCGGATGTGGTCCGAAATGGTTTGCCTCGCGCGGCTGAGAATGTCTTGCATTCAGGCGCATAACGCTCGCACGCCAGAGATGGTTCAACTTCATACGAGTCCAGCCGCTGCTTTCCATCCGCAGTTGAATAATCCCACCGGTCATCCGACACGAGCAGGTCCAGGGGAGGCTGAACTCCAATGCCCGCCATGGCCACAACCTTGGTCAAAGGATAGTTTGGCCCGCTGAATCTTTCTCCCAAAAGTGGGCAGGCGAACATGTCTCGCGCGCACCCGTGCTCGCGATTGTCTATGGCACATCTGACTGAACATACCACAGCACCACACCCAACCGGGCATGGATACTTTGATCTTCCTTCATCTCTGGTCGGGATGGGAGCGCTGAAGTCGCGCCCGCAGTTGTTGCATTTTCCATGAGGATCCGGTCCAGCCTTGAAAGCGGTTGCTGTGGCACTTCCCCCGCCAGTCGGGGAGGCATCGGTGCAACTTATCTCTGGGTCAAATCTTGCTTTCAGATTCACTTGGGCAAGCGGTGACTCCACCAACAGACACATAGTCTCATCGATCACCTCAGGCGACGGGTTGATTGGCCCCTTTCATGCCCTCTCAATGGCATCGAAGACATTTGCAATCCCCGAAAACATGGATCTCTTGAAGGTTGCCATTGATGCCGTTTTGCCTGTCCAATGTCGTAGGTAGAATTCAGACCACCAGTGGCGCGACAGCAACGCCAGGCTCAACTCGATGTAGCGAAGCTTCTCTCCCGTGAGCTTCAAAACTCCCCGGCGGCAGTCGAGCTGAATCAGCTGCTTGCCCAGGTTCCTTGGCAAGCCTGCCTCATCGCAGGCTGCAATGAACTGCGAGTGGTGAGGTGAAAGCTCGTCACCTTCTCGATGCAACTCAATGTCAAGGGTCTTTACCACATGGATCTCGTCAAAATTGTCCAGGTACACTTAGACTATCGTGTAGATCTTCTCCTCCGGCAGACGGGAGCGCTTCTCAATGGAAAATTGCTGCGGAATCTTCGCCCTCTCGAACACCAGGGTTCTCACCGCTTCCTGGACCAAAGCACCTGCTGAGCGCCACCCCATCGGTACCACACAAAGAGCTGGGCGTACTTGCGTGCCTGGTGGCATCCCGAATGCGGCTGAATCAACTTTCTTGCTATAGGCTAGGTATGGCAACCAGTTGTCCGGCATAGAGAAAAGATTGAAAGCTGATTGCAGGTCCTCACTGTCAAGGTACAGCCCCTCATCTTCCTCCAACAGTATTCCAGTGAGTTGCCCGATGTATGGCAGGGTGTCTTGGGATCCGGCAATGGCTCCCATCACTGCATTAATTGGACATAGGATTGAAATGAACCGCTGGCACTTGTGAGGTTTCCCGTCAATCATCTTTTCCTTGAAAACTCCACCGGCTCCATTTGTAATCAAATGTCCTTGCCTGTCCCGCGGGACTAAGGAATCATCAACAGGCTTCATCATTCCTCGCTGGTGCGCAGCATGAACCACCTTGAACCACTCTGCGTCACTCGCGGGATGTCAGCCCTCGCTCCGGCATCTTGTCCGGCGGCAATAGCAATTTCTCAGGCTTCGCCAGAGCTTCTTTGGTTTCCTCTTTCAAGAAAGCCTCTATTGGCTGGATTCCCGCTTGACCTGGCCGCGGCCATGCGGGGAGGACTCGTTCACAGATCAAGTCCTCCATATATTCAGTCAGATTTCCTGAGTAATCGAATTTCTTTGAGTTCAGTAGTTTCTCACTTTCTCCAAGACTCTTCAGTGGTGTTCCCGAGATAATGTTACTCGTCACCACCTTGGCCATCTCACTGACCGCTGTGATCTGCAACTCCGACAACCCGTCCTTGAACGGCGCGCAGATCGGTTTGCTCCAGCCCACGCAATAATGGAAATTGATGACGCACAGAATGGCCTTGATCCACATCTCATTTCTCTCCGATACACCCGGAATATCCACTGTGATATTCCACGGAGGAATGGGCAGTAGGTCGCCCGAGGTTCCGCTTTGGAGTGAGTTTTGGGGGGTTGCGCAGCCATGCAGTAGGATCGAACAAATTTCCCAGCGATATAGATGTTTCCTGAGATCTTGGAAGGTTGCGTTCTGTTTAAAAAGCTCTCTCACCGTGAGGCTCCACTCCCTGATAGTCTCACACTCGTCAACATCCAGGTTGTGAAGATTGGTTGGGCATCCATCGAGGCCATCCATGAGCTCTTCCACAATGCTCTCGTAACCTTCATCAGCATACTGTTCAACTGAAATTGTTCCGCGCTCTTTCCGCACTAGCGGTGGCCTTTCATCCTGATCCGTCGGAGGCCCGTAGGGCAGGAAATGAGCGTCGTCCTCAACATCAGTGTTGGCCGATGAAGTCATCACGCCGTGGGCGTGTCTGCCGCGTTCTCCATCTTTGATTTCCCTTTCTTTCCTTTTTCTTTTCCTTTTCCTTTCCCCTTCTCGTGGAAGTCGTTCTTCCCCTTGGTCTGGGGTTTCCACTGCTGCCCTGCTATCAGCAGTCGCATCTTCTGCTCGGTGGCCTGCTCCTTCGTGGCCATCAGCGTCTCGTCTTTCCCCACTAAGTTCACTCCCTCGGGAGGAATCAACTCCAGGTGTTGCGCACGGCTCCACGCCTGTTCGGACAGGTACAGTTCGAGCGACTTCACCCGTTGTCCTGTGATTCCGGGTTGCCGCTGGCCAGCAGGTCCAGTGCTTTGCACAGAGTCCTTAGTTCTCGACTTGTCCTCAAGTTCATCTTTCCCCGATATTGAGGGATCAGCACCGTGAGGAAGTACGATGTCGCTGCGGCTGGGGTCAGGTTTCGCTCGGTCTTTGCGCGCGTGGGCCCCTCCTGCCGAGCCAGGATCTCGCGCATCGTCCGCAGCAGTCGGGACATGTCGGGACGCCAATCGCCCCGGATGTTGCTCCGAGTACTCCTGAAGCTGCAGTTGACGCAATTTGGTGGAAGGGCCCGCCCGAAAATCCGAACCTGAATCTTCATCATCGTCCGAACTCTTTGAATCCAATTTTCCTTCTCCAAGGTGTCCCACACCAAAAGGTCCTCGATCTGCCTGCTTCTTGTTTCTTGTCGAAGCCGAGGCTTTTCGGGCCCGTTTTCCTGCTTTGCGCTTGAGCTTCTTTGCCGATCGTCCTCTCTCCTCCTCATCGGCTTTCTCTCCAGCTACCTTCCCCGCAGGGATAATCCCCATGCTACTTGAGCTGTCATTGCCCGAGTCAACTTCTTGTGGGTGTCCAAACCACAGGGGTTGAAGGTCTTTCGCCTTGGCCCTTTTCGCAGTTTTGTCACGATCTTTCTTCTTTTCAGTAACACCCTCTGCATCACGCTTCTTCTTCTTTGTCTCATCTCGACGACCTTCACCACCGTCATCTTTACCGCTGAAGGTTTTCTTCAAAGCTGCCAGCCTACCAGGGATGTCCTCGCCCGCAGGCGCCCCTGATGCGATCGGCTCCTCATCCTTTTCCCAATCGAGATGACCGGGGTCCGGCGCTCCTAATCCTCAAGCTCCTGCTGGATCGTAGGGGCCGGCGGTTGCCCCCAAGGCAGCGATCTCTCTGTCAATGTCGTCCTTCACATCAGCGCCCGAAAACCAAGCTACCCTACGGGCCAAGATATCCTCCGATTGATTGTCGCGGAAGGTGTCTGAGTGAAATTCCTTCTCACGGTGGCGCTTTGTCTTTCGACACTCACCCGCAGGTGTAAGACACAAATGGGATACGAAGCTCCGCTTGTAGGCCTTTCCTGGCCCCTTGGCCAGCCTACCATTCAACCAGAGCCCTTCCTTCTTCTTCTCCAACATGTGGTCTATTTGCCACAATGCGGTCCCTTGTGGCTGACCATCTCCATCGAATTGTTCGAGCTCAATGTAACCTCCTTCGGCTACACTGAGCTCCTTGTAGTAATCCGGGTTCCTTGGTAGGTTGATCCAAGGACCCGGCATCACGCCCTCAGGCGGCCCTGCCGCCCGAAGGCACCCACTTCAAGCCTTGAGAACAAAACGGCATTGAGCATAAAAACTCGTGCCTACACTACGTGAGGGACACTCGTGGCAATATGTGCAGTATATTGCCAAGGAAAAGAAGGTTCTGGAACCGAAATTCCTTGCCAATTGGTCCATAGACCTTGTTGTTTGCACATGTTGATTACAGCATTTCTTGCATCATGGTTGTCTTTGCCAGTTTCAAACAAGACTGTGTGATGACATGACCTCATTCACTGCAATGTGTATTGTTGGTGCAGCAATGGACTTGAAATGTTCGGTGGACGGTTTGAAGGGTTTGATCCCCCAGGCGTCATATCTCAATTGAGTGCTTGATGGAAAAAACGAAAACCTAGTGCAGGCGGTCTCAGTCACGAAGGAACGCGAATATGCCGTGGATTGAATCTCCCTCCAAAAATGCATTCCTTCTCGGCATGCTCTAGATACACTCTGCTAGCTGGTGGGAGAGCCCACATCGCTCTCTGGCATTAACTTGACGTGGTGTAAAAGCAGGTTGCAAGGATGCACCCTCCAGAGTGGGCTTCTGGCTCTCGTTTTCTGCTGGATTGAGACAACCCTTTCGGCACTGTTCTCCGCTACGGAAAACACAAGGAAGGACTGAAAGTTCTTCCAGTGTCTTCTACCGGCAGGCCCCTGGATAAGTCCACTTTCAAATTGCCCTTGCTAAAGGGCCCTTACCTTCTTTTTTGGTTCACATCCCAAACAATTTGTTCCTGCTTTTCCTATACTTATATATATATATACAATATACTTCAATATACACGTTCAAACGGGCGTCACCAAGTCTTCCAGCTGGGCCAATCGATGCCTGGAGACATACGATGCCCAAGTGCCAAAAGTGCCGCAAGCGCATGGAGCTGCTTGGCCAAAAGTGTGTTTGATGGCCTCTCGAAGAACTCACCAAACTCCATGTGGTCCATGACATCAATCCGATTCCAATCAAAGGGCCTCAAGCATGTCAATGAACTTAAAGTCAATAATTTGAATCTATTCAATCATCAAAAATGAAAGCGATGTAGCTCCATATTGAGCAATGACCTCACCAATGTCGCGTTCTCGATTGCGCTGACGACATTTGCGATGCGCTCCTTCAAAACAAAGTAGAAACTGCAATGATTCGTGGTAAACGATAATGATCGTGTCTGTAGCATGTTTTTTTGGGCAAATACAGCACCAAGCTTGACCGACCATCCACTCCTCACTCTTTTCGACCTGATCTCGGAAAGCTCCGCGGAACTTGGTGATGCCCTGATTTCCAGCCTGGAAAATTGCGTGAGTGTCCCTTCCTTTAGTATGTTTCTCCGTGGAAAGCAACGTCCAGCCTCAATGAAGTCTGTGATTCCCAGGGAGTTCCAGTTTAACGGCGACAAACCAGGACCTCTGAGGCCGGCTGTTGATGAATAAAGAAACGACAGACAAACAGCATAAAACAGCTCTGCTTGCTGAATACACTTCTGAGTTGAGAGTTCTAAGCAAGAAAAGCTCAATATATAGCTGAAGGTTTCGGTGCATGTCAAGATCTCGGCGCCCAGCTCAAGCACTTGTCCAGATCCAGGATTTGCTTTCTGAGCAGCTTCCTTGAGCGCTTGCATTCCACGAGGCTAAGGCTAAAGCCCTAGATAAACCTCCCAGCAAACTGGTTTCACCAAGAGGCTGTTGCACAGGAGACAAGTCACCCACAGCAGCGTTGTATGCATCGATGAGTAGATCCAATTGTTCCACAAACTCCTCTTTCAAGGTCTTTGAAAAATCTGGACTCGCTTTGCTGTTGTACATTGTACTCCATTCAACACACCTTGTATTGGTCTTGCTGAAGCGCCACATTGAGAACCTCCAAATTCAAAATGCTAAAAATGTATTCAGGCAGGAACTCTGATCTGGCATGTTTATATAACTCCACAAATAGTTGGCCCAAAAAACGTCTATACTTTCTAGAGCTGCATTTGAGCGACGGTGTGTGGCAGCTCAAAGCCACCGAGCTGGTCCAAATATTTGGCTTCGCGGATGAGAAGCTGCAACTCCTGGTGAGTCTTGACGCTGCAACTCCACTTGCTGGAGTTGTTAGAGGCAAAGAAGCTCAGGGTCCTTGGCAAAGTTTACCTTGTATGCTCCCGTCCGAGCGTCTTTGATCAGCACATTGTACCTTGTGTTCGTCCCCGTGAATTAAACAATTCCTTTACAGACTCTACAGTCGGGGTTGGACCAGAATATTGATTTGAACCTTTGAGTGTGCGAGTGATACTTCGTTCTTCCAAGGTACTTCAAGCTTGAGACAGCAAGCTCGACAGCAGTCGTTTGCCAAGCTTCAAACAGGGCCTGTTCCTTGGAAATGCAGGAACTGCACACAGCTTACTTGGCAGACTTACAAGATTCCTCAGTTGGACAACACTTTGGGACTTTTGCAAACCAGCTGCATATTCGAGGATTTCCTTTCCGAGCTCCACATACTCCTGTGCCGCATCGTCCGCATGGTGCATCTGTACTCTGTCGACAAACATCTACTGTCCGCTCCTTGCAAGCCTGTTGTCCTTCTGGAAGCTGCAATCTGGCAGAGGCAGCGGCCAGCATTGTATATAAATGTCGTGACCAAACACAGCGCTTTCATGTTCTTTTTGTCTCAAATCTTCAAGCTTTAACTGGATAAGCCAGAATCAGGCAGGCATTGCAAGTGCGGCATGGTCTTGAAAGACAAAATAGGTCGCTTGGCTCTGTGAAAAATGCTGCGTGCCTCAGTGCTCACAAATCGCAAAAGAGTCCGAATACAAACAGAAACATGCGGATACTGAATCTGAGTTTGAAGCCCAATGAATTGCCCCTGCAGTCGGTGGCATGCTCTTGGAGATTGGCGGGTTCTCCTGACTCTGCTGGTCAGAACCCTGGCTTCTTCAACTATACATTGAAAGGCTCTTGCCCACCTGGTCTCGTTGAAAGATCTCCTTCAGCTTGCCCACTTCTACACCTTGAGCCAATGCAGGGGTTGCAAGTTTAGCAAGCTATTGGCTACAGTGAGCAGCTGGCGATATCGGAGCAAAATCGCTACAAACTTCTCGTTCATCTTCTTGTTGATGCGCTCGCCTGGCCAAGAGGTGCACTTCAGGGATACTGGTATGCTCAACATCGAAAGCTGGGAATTGGACGAGACTCAATGTTCTTGAAGTTCTGAAGCAATTTGAAGGCACCCTGCCATCTGTAAGACTTTGGAAGCCCTCTAAGCGATAAGCGCTTCAGATAGCTGGGCAGTGAGATGGGCCTCTGCAGAGCGTAGGTTTTGAAAGGATCGGTTCCTTGGGTATCGAGCTTGGCTGAGCGTGGCTGAGACATCTTGTCATGGAATGGAATACCAGCAAAATTAACAATACAGTCAAAGTACAAGAACTTGATGGCTCGCTCTTCGATCACAGTCACTCTCTCTTTGAACCTGAAGCGTTCAGGCACTCCAAACAAGCCCAGATCTCCATGCTTATCAAACTTAGCGGTCAAAGCGCTTTGCGATTGAGCTTTCCCAATTAGAGTAGTGGAAGTCATCGAACACGTTCTTCACATTGCCTGATTGCAGTGACGTGCAGTGTGTGACCCTTGGCGTGTCAAAGAAGCCAAGTCATCTTGTGAACTTCGCTTCGCTTCAGTGCCGCACGGAAGTCAGTCTTCAACGCTTCGACTTCCTTCAGCAGCTGATCGATGCCTTTCCACTGGAGGGCACAGTGAGTTCCAATGAGGTTGCTAGGATCAACAACTTGCTGTGGGACATTACCAGAGTGCTGTAGCTGGTTTGGCAAACCTTCTTCGGTTCCCAGAACTGGACTCTTGGTGTCAAGTCTTTAGGACTTGCTGACTTGGCTACCTTTCAAACCTGCCTGGGAACTACTTTCTCGCATGCTGAAAGTTTGCTTAGACAAGAACATGGAAGCTTCAGCAAACACTCGAACCAGTGCTCCAGGTTTCATGGTTCTACAAACTCCACCAGCTAGTCGCAATGATCAGCAAAAAAAAGAATTGCAGGCACAGGGGCTTGGCCATTGAACCCAACTCTTGACGGGAGTTGCTACGTACCTTCCGGGGAGAAAGGTGCTGCAGAGTGTTGCACCTTGAGAATCGCCGGTGACCTCTTTCAGCTCTGGGCCAAGGAATTTGTAAAACCTGAGCCGTCAAGACCAACAGACTAACATTGAACAATCAAAAAGCGAGGGCTAAGAACTGGGCTGGTCCAAGACTTGCATGATTTCGTAGAGGTCGGTGCAAATTTTGGACCTTTAGTAGAAGAAACTGGCTCTGGAAGTCACATGCGGGCTGTGACAAGGAACATGTAGTTGGTCTTCTTGAAAAGCAGGATCCGATCAAAGTCCCAGCCTCAGGGAGTTGACCAAACTGAGTAGATTTGGTTCTTGCTGAGTAGATTTTGTCACCAAGGGACGCTGGTTTGTTGCTGGGCTCTCTTCCATCTTGTCACGAGTCATCAGGTAGATGTCGGACCATTTCCTCGAATCATCAGTCCATAGACTCAAATATTTGCAATCGACTTGTGACTTTTACATGTGTGCACGCAAGAAATTTCAAGGAACAGCCAAAACAGGGTACTCTTCTCAGAAAGTCAACGCTGTGGTTCTCCAAGGGTCACAAGTGCATTCTTACCATCTTCGATGATTTGCATTGCCTGACGAGTCAATTCATCTCAGCTTCAAGCTAATTGCCCGCAGCAGACAAAACTACAAGGTGTCATGCCTTTGGAGGGTCCAAGGACAAGATTTGGTTGATGTTGATTTGCTCCTCGATGCAGAAATGGAACACTGTTTGTCCCATTCAGAAGAAGCCAACTGCTTGAACATTTATATAAGGGCTCCTGGACTTTGTCTGCAATCTGCTCCGCGATGCGACCCATCAGCCGTTCCATATCCCTGACGAGGCTGGGCAAATATCAATACTACAGCTGGCAATCAGGATGACTCAAGGCCTAGAGTCTATCTAGGGTCATATCGCTCATGTCCTAGTGTACCAGATTCCGAGCTTCAGACTTGTCAGTGTTGAAATACCGAGAAATGATCCAAACCTAGCCCCGATAAACTTGGACAGTGCGTTGTATCATGTTGCTTCATCGCCTCCGATTCCCTGCTCACATCTCAGGCTCAAACGTGGCGAATGGCAGTCATCAAGGATGGAAGGGTTTCCTAAGCTTCCCTCCGCTTTGGATTTTCCACCCAGAAAACAAGAAGCCACAGGTCTCACAATTTTCCTCAGTTTCTCCAAGCATCGACAATGGTTTGCATGGATCCTGTAGCAAGGCTCTTGAAATGTCGCCTGGGCAGCAACAAATCATCAACAAGTGCGCAGCCGCAGGCAGCCGTGTGCAGCAGTTCGATCATGTTCATGTGGTCTATGGGGTCTTTCCCAAGGCACTCCAGAGTCGTCAAGAATTTGACATTGTCCTCTGGCTTCCATGACAGTATCAGTATCACTCACTCATAGACAATTGAAGGAGTGGCAGTCCTTGGCCACAACATGCATTCCTTGCAAGGCTCCAAACTGATCCTGAAAATGATGAAGAAAGCGATCCGGCACAACGCGTCTGATTTTTGGTGTCTCCACTTGCCTTGCCTGAAACTGCTGTAAAACAGGAGGTTCCGAAGCTTCCAGAACTTCGAGAACCTTCAAAGCTTGACGGTGCTTCAAGGGTAAAAGCCAAGGAAAACGAGTGATCACGCAGTACTGTGACAAGTGATCATAAAGCAAGTGATTGCTTTCTTGCTTTCACAGGTTCTTGCTTGCAGTTGACACCGACCTTTTTGACCCCAGGCAGTTGCAGCTGCTCGTAGACCGTGGAAACCTTGCTTCACTCTTCGGCTCATGATGACTCGTCCAAAAGACGACGACACCGGGCCTTGGAGGAGCGATCTCTCCAAAAGTCGATCTCAGCCATGGGAGGTAGGCTCATGTTCTCCTTTTCCTTATCTCTTTCGCCTTCCTCACATATGGCGACTTAAAGATCAACGCTCTTTGCAGCTGCGCTCAAAAATGCCTCCTTCAGGACTTTCTCAATGATGCTGCTCCATTCTGTCACTGCCTCATGCATGAAGTTTGACTGCGAAAGGGAGAGGAACGCGCAGCAAAGCCATAGAAGGCCTGTTCAAGTATAGAGATGACGCTCGGATCATGGCGTGCTGCATCCATGTCCTGACGACTCGTTGCTGACACCGAGCAGCCGCAACAAACTCGATGATCACAACTCTTTGCAAAGGTGCACTTGCTTGAGTGTCACGAGATTGAATTGTCCTTGGAATCTTAATTTATTTGTGTCTTTGTGGATCTATTCCAACAAAAGTGCGATGACAAGATAGTTTCTATTTTTTGTTTTAGACAAACATATCGGATGAAGGTCAGCCAAGGTTATGATAAATGAAAAAAGTTTCTGACTGCCTCAAGATCCACGGCTGGCACGCGGATGTTCACATTCCCATACACCTCCCATTCACTGCAAGCTCGAGAGTCTGGTGTACCGTAAAACTTGTGACGGCTCAGGCAAACAGGATCGCCTGCACGACAGTCTGGTGAACGTGACCCCTGAAGCGTACGGTGTAGCCCAGGATCTCATCTTGGATGTGGGATGGCCTCAAAGTAGGCAAGCTCATCTTGTGTTTTTGAATCTTGCACTAAAGGGCCAGGCAGATTTATGGCATTCGACTCTTCTTCTGGCGAACCGGTGACCTGTCAACTTAGGCTGAAGGTGACCAAATAGTTTGATACAAGATGGATGGCTCAGTCGTGTGCGGCTGCAGAGGCAGCCACTATCTCCTCAAGCAACCAGATTCAGGATGCAGGCAGGCAACGAAACAAACTATTCCTTGCACAAAACGCGAGCGTTCCTCGACCTCTTCGGCTACAGTCTTCTCTGGAGCTTCCTAGCAACTCGCAAAGGAACTAAAGGCAGCAATACGAACTCTGTAATGGATCTGCATCCCGAACTGAAATTGCAAAGCAGAAGCATACTGAACTGACTGAAGCTCTTGAAGGGATGGCACTCCTCATCACCAGGACCTGGCTCATTTCCACGGCCCTCATCAAGCTCTGAACCTTGTCAGTCAAAACAGCGCACCCTGGTCACTTCATTCGAGTAAGAAGGCTTTGTTCTGGGTGCACATGGGTTTGCATCTTGTCACACATGTCAGATGTATGACATAGGTAGTGTCAAGTCCAAGAGTCGTGACAAGGGTCGTTTGTGGAAAAACAGTTTGCATGTTGAGGCAGCAACCATCAGCTGCAGCCTCCGCCCTTGTAGCTGAATGCATCCATGAACAAACAGTGAAGCACAGCTTTTAAATTGAATCACAAGAGGTCAAACCACATCTACTCCAGACTCTTGTGTGAGTCTTGAAGCAGCCAAGGTAGCTGCTCTGCATCTTCTGCCTTCACAAAGAACAGGAAGTTTGACAATCCAAGGTGGCTTCGATGTCGAACACAAGTTGAGCACACATGTTCCGGTGCTGTAGCCAGCAGGAAAAGGCCAAAAAGGACCTGCTTCATTGAATGGTTGTTATTTGGCGGCGTGGAAAGAAACCGCCTCAGACTCGGAGCCACGCCGTCGGCTCTCTGCCTTGGCTCTATTGGTTCCTGGCAACATGCATCACATCTAATAGACCAAACGGATCTACTTCCAATAGAAGCAAGTTTCACATCTGCGTGGTTTGACATGCATGCTGCATTCTTCTCAAGAAACTCCCGCTTGTCATGCATGTCGCCTTTGCTCAGCGCAGGAATGTAGATCTCGTTCATCATCAGCTCCAAATCCCTCAGGAAAGTGCCTCAAGAAGCATTTCACGCAGTTCAACAGACTTTGAGTTCAACAAAGATTCAACAAGGGCGGGCGGACCTTCAACAGTACCGAAGGTGACCTCTCTCCGAATCGTGGCGGGACTGCAAGGCCTCAGCTTGGAGGAATGCATCTTTGTAGATGCAAAAAATAAGCAAAAAGAAGTCTGCACAAACAACCAGCAAGAAAACAAGCGCTCTATTCAGAATTTGCACCATGTGTGGTTCAGCGTTTCTGTCTTTGATTAAAGGTTTCATGTCGAGCCATGTGTATACTCAGCTGCTGACCCATTTATGTGTTTCATAAAATACAGGCATAGTCTGTCCAGCGATCCATCAATCAAGGCACCAACCTGAAGAAGCCCCTTCCATTGCTCTAAACACCACTTTCTGTCCTTTGAGAACCACACTGCGACTGTCAATACCTCACCTGAAGGAACATCTTCAAAAATCCGGATATATAACTTTTGCTTCAAACGAGAAAGCATGGCTTGGCTCCGAACGAGAAAGCATTTGAGTGGTTTCCTTTGCCAGAGTCTTGGCTCGCCTCGATTAGGTGCTATCTCTCACGCTCTTCACTCTTTTCAACCTACTGTAAAATCGAAAGAATCCAATCCATCTGGGATGCATACGCAACGCTTTTCCGTGGTTCAGCCTTGACCTGAATCACACGCAGTATTGCTTTTAAGTGCTGCAAAACGCTGCAAAGCAACAAAGAACGGTGGAATTGAACACATACTTGCAGCACGATTGGACATTCTTTGTTGCAGTAACCTCCAGGATCATGCACATTTGTATATAGTTGCTGCAGGAATGTTTCGACGTGGGCCATGTTTGCCAAACCAACCTCGTCTCCTTCAGGATCAGGTACAACTTCACCCTCAGCCTCAGGCAGCATTTCAAAACAGAAAAGCAACCCTTGTGTGAAGAAAAACATGAGGCCGATACGTCTAAAACCACCTCTTCACCACCTGGTATCATGAATCGCTAGAGTTAAACGCGGGAACAAAACAAACACTTGGCAACCTCCTGATAAAGGATTGCAGAATAGAACAATTGAAAAAAATATATACCGTACGAAGGTTTGCCTTCGGCTGCACTTTCTGCTTCTCCTGGAAACTTCAAGCGCTCAAGGAATGCACTGCCGAGCACACATGTCAACAAGGTCTTGGTCCTTCTTGACCGCCCTCTTTGCTGCCCATCTCAGAGACCTTCAAAAACGAAGGCACAAACGTGCTGGCGTGCTGGGACATTGTTTGCATTGCAGCTAGTTCAGCGATGAGGCCACCGCTATTCTCAGATAAAACAAGGCTGTTGTGTTCTCTGGCCTCACTGCAAAAGGTCAACAAACAATTTTCATAGTCTGAGACTGAAAGGCTCCGACGCTGCATCGAGGAAATAGGCCAAATCCTGAATGCTGTTGGGCATAACACTCAAAATGCAAGAGCAAATGCGAGCTGTCGTCCATAATTACTCACAGTCACAGACTCCATCCAGCCTTTTGAGCCTTTTCCTCTTGCAACAGCTGTGTCCACTTCTCAGCCTTCCAAATCTAAACCCTAGAACTCACTGACTAATCCAAGGGTGGACTGCATAAGTCTGTTTTCGCTCGGCTGACCACTTGGCCTCTACTGGCAAAACAGCTTGGACGGTTCGTTGGAGCCATGACAACCGCGCATCAGCCATCGGAAAGACGTGAAAACGTCCTCACGACAAATGCAAATAAGATAATTGCAAACCTGTAAAATCAAGCTAAGTTTCCCAAGTGTTTCCTTCACGTTCACACTCTGTCACCAACTCAGAGACACGGCACTTTCTGGGAGGACCAACCCAGCCTGCGTCGATGTGCACGGTTAGTTTGTCCGGCAGCTTGATTCTGCCAAACTTGACTCCCCTGAGCCAATTGGCTGCAACGGACAGAGGCCAAAAAGCAGATACAATCTTGCAGGTCCAGTCCATCAATCCTGCATGTGTGGATGTTCGGGTTGTGTTCTCCTCAACAAAAACGTCCAAACATGGGTTTGTTCGTTTGAGAAATTTGTTTTACGAAAGCTTGCTGAGTGGTCAAGTCAATCAGACATAAAAAAGATTCGCTGGCGCATGTTGGAACTGGCAACTGAATTTGCTGAAATCGCCGCATGTCCACAAAACTTCGCAAAACATTCCACCAATCCAGCATCAAACTTCGGTGTGTGAAGAAAGCAGGATTCCAACTAAGTCCGCAATCATCAAAAAATCACACACTCGGGAAATGGTGCGTACGAACTGAAAACCTTATGCCAAACAAGCCACATCCTGAAAAACCTACTACCTTTAAGTAGATTACAAACGTTCTAATCACAAAACGAAAGCACGTGCAACAGCTCACAACCAAAGCGAAAGCACTCGCACCACTTTTACGCGCACCTTGAGCCAGTGCTCAAGTCTTGAGCCTTGAGCCAAAGTTAAGTACAAAAGGCTATGAGGTATTCCTGGTTCCAAGCAATTCCCACGCGAGACACTGAAAGTGTCGAGCTTAAACGCTCAAACATGCAAAAACCGTTCAAGAAACATTCACACTACAAAAGTTACAAAGATTTCTGTTCACACAGCTTTCTAAACATTGTACATTCCGTGAGCTATGCTCCCCAAAGCTTGAAAAACCTCACAGCTAAAGCTTCACAAAGCGCTTAAACATGAGCGCTGCTGTTCTCAAAACAATTGCTCTTTACAAAGCTGCTTGTAAACTGACATCGCCACTAGTGTAGTGCACCCATACACTTTCACACTTGGGACTCTCCTCATGCCTAGTCTTCAGACACTTCTTGCACAAATGAAAGCGAGACAAAACACGGCCTTTTTGGCATAGATGCAGTACGATGTCAGGTGCAACACTGTTCCCTTCTCAGTTCGATAGTATGAACCGTGCACATCGATCCAATCTGCGAACACTGACGGGATGACCTCGTTCACTTCAACGCTCACATCTCTTGTTCTCTTCTTGCCAATCGACTCATCAACTGCCATTGCCCGTTGATTCCTTGAGTCGATCACCACCTGCACTGAACGGCAACATAGCTTCGCCAGAATTCCTCCAACGAACATGCCACTCACAAAAATGAGAATGCGCAACATCTCAAATTCTCGCCCATCCACACAAGCAAGAATTATAGCTGCCTCCATGAACGGCGACGAAATCGCAAACGTGCCCCCAAATAGCTGCGGACAAAAGCAGTCAGCTAGCACAGCAAGCAAAGCACGCTTGAACCACATTGCATTCATTCCGAATCTCCAGACCTCCATGGCTTTGCCAATAGGACCTTCCGATCTCCAATTCCGATCTTCTCTTCAAGAGACCGTCGACCGGCCTCGAAAACCTCAGACTC